AACGGAAATTCTCTTTCTACAATCACATTCGGATTCAAATTCCTATCCTGCCTATTTATTTCCGCCTTTTGATAAAGCGCCGCCGGTGCGGTTCTCGGTTCCCCTATCGGTATCAGACTTCGCAACGACCGCGCTACTCGCTCAGATTGTACGCCGCGTTGTTGCAAACGCCAGTTACCGAACATATGTTTCGCTCGCTTTTACAAAATTTATTCGACTTACAGTAGTTGACCTAATTCTGCTTACGAGAATCGTATCTGCGTGGTGTTGCTGACTCAGCTTTCCTCGCGCCGCCGCTGCCGCTGCCTCGCCGCTTTGCTGGTCCGTTGTCTCGCTGCTTCTCTGCTATTGCTGCTTCGCCGCTACCGCTGCCTTGCTTGCGGTGACTGCTTTGCTGCTTTTTCGGTTGTCGTTTGCTGGTTCCTCGGTGCCCTTCCTGGCCCTTCCGTCACAGCTGCTTGTCTGCTTGCCGCTTACTGCTTCCGTAATTTCCCGGCGGTAGATTTTGTTTTCCGTTCTGCTACTGCAGTCCGGCCGCTTCCTTATCTCCGTCTTGTGTCACTGCCCGTCACTTGGCTTGCGTTAGGTCAGTGTTGCCGTGTAACTCGAGACTGTGAGTTCGCGGTGTCTTTCTTTCTCTTTTGAACCCGTAGTTCGCAAGACACTCTTTTAACGACTGCTTTTTTTTTGTTTCAGGAGCAGTATTCCAGATCGGGATTATACATATAACTTTTATACCCATATATATATATATATATTTTTTTTTTAAATATACCCCTATTTTTTAAACCAGAACTCAACCGTTCTCGTTCTTCCGTTTTTCTTTCTCACCCAGTGTCCGTTTCCTTAATCCAACCGGAATCTTCTGCAGAGTCCCGTCCTTGACACACGGATTGAGAGATCCCACCGCTGCCACCAAAATTTATTGGATGTCGAGGAAGGTCGGGTGGTAAAGATGAAGTTTTAGTCTTGAACTTGTATTCTTTTTTTTATTGCTCCGATTACAACGTTCCTTTCGTTCCTTACACGGCTGTCCTCACTGTGGTAAACTCTCCGGCTTGCGGAGCCACACAGTGAGCTAGCAGTCTAATCACGGTCTCTGCCCTGCTTCATCCACGCGATCGATTTATAGTAGATCGATCGCGCTGATTCAGCAAGCCCACCGGTCCTAGCAACGGCCGTGCTAGTTACCGGTGCCGGTGTCGACACATGCTGCGTTGCACTTCGGACAATGCGGCAATGTGTCGCACTCTGTGGCAACCAGCAGTTCTTCCTAGAACTGCTGCCTTCCCGCAACTTAACTAGGTCATTGAGCAATGACAGTGATGTCTCATCACATTGCTCAATGGCCTCACCTTACTTAGCTTTTAATACAAAAATTGGCGCACAACATCGAGTACTTAAGAAAATGCATAACGATTTTTCCGCAATTTTTGACAAATATTATTTACAAAATTTTATTTCGACAAAACTGTTGCGTTATGGTGAATCATCTTAGTGCAATCATTGCAAAATCGTCGTTATTCATAATGCCATTTTTGTGCAATATTTTCACAATTTGCCTATTAGAGAATTAAATCTAACAAGGCGAGGTTGCGACTTTGTACCAATCGATTTGGACGAAATTTATAAGATTGATAGATGACTATGTGGAGTATTGCAGGGTAAAGTAATAAGACGCACTACTCAAACATTCGCGAGAAAATCGAATTTGAAAATTTAGAGTTACTTTATAAGGATATTACATAGATTGTTTAATCGCGTAGCGTAGCGGTAGCGTACTAGTTGGTAGTGTCAATGCTGCTGGTTAAAGTCTCGATATACTTTTTTTTTTTCAAAATTGTACAGTATAATCTAAATGTAAGTAATACGTTTTTTTATTTTATGCATGTTATAAAAGTGCATTTTCTTGCATAAAAACTCTGTGATTTAAAAAATACGGTAAAAATAAATAGATTAATACTAATTACTAATTGTGTTCATAAAAAGCGGATAAATAATAGTACGCAATATGTAAAAATATATACGCAACATGTTTTAGTTATTGGAACTAGATAGGACAATACATAATGTAGGATGATATTTGTCATAAAAACAAGTGAAACAATAATTTTTACGATAATGTACACATCGTATGAACGCTGCAGTTTTACATTCACATGGTTTTTTTAAAATATCTATTGAAAAATATACTTCGTTGACATTCAAAAATATCTCTCGTTTGTTAATTTGGAAGCATACCATGCATATTGTAACATATTTCGAAAACTCGTTGTGGACAATTGATGATGTATGATTGAATGAATTTTTATGCAATCTTCACGAGATGTTATTTCGCGGTTTTGTTCTATTAAAGCTAAACAATTCTGCAAAAACACTTCATAAAATTTTTGACTTGTCTATAAAAATAAACGTCACATGGCTGACATAAAGGTGTGCACTTTAGAGAAACAACTTTAATAATACATAATGAAGAAGAAGAAGATTCTTCGGGGCTCAGAAGTCTTTTAAATTAATGAATGAATTAAATTCGGGTTGTGTGAGCCGTTTGCAGGATGTTGTGCAGAGAATGTGCTTAAATATATACAGGGCGTCCCAAAATTGGTTTAACATCTCTCGTAGGCAGGTAGAAGGAATAAAACTGAGGTGAAAAGTCCTATACCATTTTGCTCGCAATAGTTACTGAGATTTTAATTAACAAAGATCCGCGAATAAGCATGCATCGGGCTGTCTTACGCGCGTAAGACTGCCC